ACCCAGGTTGGAGTGCAGTGGCACACTCATGGCCACCGCAGCCTCGACCTGCTGGGCTCAAGTGATCCTTCCGCCTCAGCCTTCCAAGTAGCTGGAATTATAGGCATGCACCACCACACTTGGCTAATATTTTGACTTATTGTAGAGATGAGGTCTTGCCGAGTTGCCCAGGCTGATCTCAAGCCCCTGGGCTCAGGCAGTCCTCTCACCTCTGCCTCCCAAAGTGCTGGGATTACAGGCATGAGCCAATGTGCCCAGCCTATTTATTTTTATGATGTTAAATTTAGCATTATGACTCACTCTATAATATAAGGTTTTTTGTTTCTTTTTATCAGTTAATTTAGAAAAATTCTTTATTCAGTTAGTTGTCTTTGAGACAGATAGGTTGAGTTCTTTAAATTGTTGGCATTTATTTTTCTTTTTTTTCTTAGATTGGAAAATATGGTTTATTTATAAAGTAAAATAGAGAGAGTGGAATTTTCTTTTCTAAATAACAGGTTGAGCACCCCAAATCTGAAATGTTTCAAAACTCTAAACTTTTTGAGCACCAACATGATACTTAAAAGGAAATGCTTATCGGAGCATTTCAGATTTCCTGTTTTCAGATTTGGACTGTTTAACCAGTAAGTATAATTTAAATATGCCATAATCTGGAAAAAATCTGAGATCCAGTGTTTTGGATAAGTGATTCTCAACCTGGACTCTGATTGGTAATTTCAAAAAAAATTAAAATTAGCAGTGCGTGGTAGCACGTGCCTGTATTTCCAGCTACTTGGAAGGCTGAGGAGGAAGGATTGCCGGAGCCCTGCAGGTTGAGGCTGTGGTGGCCGAGAGCATGCCACAGCACTCCAGTCTGGGTAACAGAGTGAGACTCCAACTAAAAAAAAAAAAAAAAATTAGAATTTGCTTCAGTTCAAATGAAGCAGAAAACTATATTTTTGTTTGCAGTGTAATAGAGAAGTTGATCTGTCTTGAAAGTTTAATAAGTTGGGACGGTTTGGATTATGAATATTTTATTGCCATTAAAATTATTATCAAAGTTCACAGCACAAAATATTTATTGGTAAAAACAGCATATCAAATTATATTTAGTTATGAAAATTATGTCACAGTAGGGACCTAAAGTAAACACAGAAAAATGAAATGTAGATTTTTGAA